TAATAATTTTCTCCATATTTAGTTCTCATGTCTACTATTTTATCAACTTCGTATTCTTCACCAGATTCTTCAAACAAGTTATATTTTTCTTTTACATAGTCATTTTTACCCCTAAGATCTTGTTCTGATTTTCTAGACATTATTATATTGTGTTTGATATTTTATGTTTTATGTTTGTTTGTTTGAACAATGTTTATTTTTATTTATCCAATGAAAATTTTTTATAACATTTTTTATGTTCTGAGTTTGTATAACTACTACTACTACAATTTAACTTTTAAGGGAAATCATCGGACACTTATATGGAAATTTCAGGGACCAAAATTGAATTGCATCTCCAAAAAAGTAAAAGGATTAATTCAGTTTTTATTTTTGTCCTATATATTAGGGGAGACGTAACATTCGTGTAGCGCATATCATAGTCAATTGAATGTTTGTTACTTTAGGACCAGGAAAACTCTATTGAATGTCACCGCCAACACTATGATTCGAAAATACTTTAAAAAAGAGGAAAGGTGACCGCGACACTTATAATTCGAGTCAATAGAGAATTATATTTAAATTCAAATAAGGAAAAAAATCACGCAATAGGGGGTACTGATTAGCCCATTTTTGGTTAATTATTGTAAATTATTTCCTAAACAGAAAAAATCAACCAATCAACTTTCGAGATTCGCGTTAATATGATCAGGCGCTTAATTTGGCGGTGACATTCAATAGAGTTTTTCCGGTCCTGTTACTTTATTATTATTGACCACCCTTGAAATTTTATCAGCACTTAGAGTGGTGGTCCGTTTTGGAACCGTTCCTATTACTATCCTTATTTTTTATATATAGTAGATTTTGAATTTTATAATATTCAAATTGTTTATTGAAAAACTCGTGTTCAAACTGAAAAATGTCACCATAGGGCTACTCGCTAATCCATTTTGGTTAGTCTTTGTTAATCATTACCTAAACAGAAAATTTAGTTTTGATCAACGGGGTTTAAAGAAAAAATACCTTATAGGTAGGGAGGGAGGGATACTTAATTTTTGAACCCTTACAGCTCTGGCTACATATTAAATCAAAAATTTGGTGTAATTATTTTTTTTGAATTGATTGAGCAACATTCTAAAAATCAAATCTATCAACAATGTTTTATCTTGAAATTCATAAAATTTGCTGTATCAAACCTAGGAATCTGACTGTAATAGGATTTTTTTTCTATTGAAATGAACTATGTTAAATTAATATGCAACAATACAAATTTATTAAATACCAACTATGGTGTTTTGATATTAATGGTCTGTTAACAAAATCAATGAATGAGATTCAACAATCGCTTGCTAAATTACCAGACTCGTTATTAGGTTGGAATAGCAATTGTGTGGAAGAAGCAAAGAATATTGATGTTAAAGAGTTAGATTTTAAAGAAATCGAAACATTGAGATTAGATAATGCACAAAAAATTCTTGTTCAAAGACAAAACGAACATGAACAACAAATTGAAAAAGGCAAAAAAACAATAATTCCTAACACTAATAAGATTAATAACAGCCTAATAGGTATTGATATGTTTGGTTCAACGGACGGTATTATTAATGCATTTCACACCAGCATTAATATCACCAATGAAATTCTTGGGAAAATGCCTCCAAAGAAACCATCAGTAGAAAAAAGGAAAAAAAGTGCAAGTGTTTCAGATTTTTTACTACAA